GTATCTCAAAGGCGTGAGATCAGCATAAATGCAATCGAGCGCACACCGCAGCGGACTCGCCCGTTATCAAGCACACTGTTCTACGGGCACCTGCATGCTACAGCAAATTTGGTGAGAAACGAGATCACCGGGACACAGCATCACAGCCAAGCACGCCAGGGTTATTCATACCGCCTTTTCATGTGTGGCTGCCATTCAATAAGACCCGTTTCCTTCCCACGTGGCATTCCCAGCGCCGCTAGTACGCTGTACGCCGGGGAAATTACGGTGCGGAGTGTCCCGGGGGCCGGCCCGCAAATAGCTCGGCTTCATCATATTAGGTGCTATCAACAGGAACACTGAACAGAGCTATTTGTTACTGGTGTTCGGGGAGAGTCGGAAGAATTGATTACCGCTGGTATAACGCAATATCCATGTGAACTGTCTCACTATAGGTGCAATATCAAATTCCCGGCCTTTGAAAATGCCTGGTCCTAGTAAACCTGGGGTATTGGTCGTATAAAGCAAAATAAATGCCGCAGCCACCAACAACGCTATAAAAAAAATACAAACTAGATCCGGGTCTAGAGCGCTAACCACACTCTTAATCCGAGCAGCTAATAGCCAAGCAGCACTGCCAAGAGCCAGCATTCCCAACCCGCCCAGTGTGACTCGTGCGTCTGCTTTTGCATAGAGGTACCAACCCGACAAGCCGATAAGTGTAGACTCGAGAATCAAGTGAGAAGATAGATCATACGACAATAATTAGATCTTAGAATTGCTTTTTCTGCCTACTACATAAAGAAAAAGCAAAGCTCAATGCACATCGCAACGCTGAAAACCCAGATACCCACAGACAGCTCTCAGCTTCAGGTCAGATCGTCCCCATCCTGCATCATGCATGACTTGGCTAAAGCACAGACGTCCACACATACAGGTTTACCACAACGTACATCCACAGCGGGATAACAGATGCTAACGATAGAGAAGCTCAGCCCCTCCCACCCACCCGAGCTCTTTTGCTCCGTAGCGCATATGCCCACTGGAAATATATCGAGTAGTTACTAGTGCATACCTACAGGCACATGCATGCACGCCCAGATAATAAAACAGTATAATGCCACAGCTTATCTCAAGCTTGGACCATTCAGCAACGTCAGATAGGTGTCGTAATACAAAGCCGACCAATCCTATAACTTCACGGCTGTGTGTGTCTTCCTGCAACCACGGACTGGCGGTCAAGCATGCCCCGGCTTGTATCGGAATTTGGGTTGCAGCCGGTGTTGACTGGCTTTATGGTTGTTTTACACTTTTAAGTAAACATGTGAAGTAACGGAGGGTTCCTATGAACTGACTTAACCCCCGTTCTCCTTGAATATGGGCTTTGTTGGGTAGGTGTGATCCCCAAGATCTTCGCTTTACCAAATATCTGCCACCAACTATGCCATGATGCAGTCGATCCTCTTCTGTTGGCCTTGACCGCGCCCCAAGGTTCGTATACGCATGCATAATAGTGATTCGAACCGAATCAGCGTGTCTGAATACTCTGATGGAGGGTTGGACTTGCTGTAGGAGGCCTCTGCCGCTATCATAAATATGTGTAATGGTAACTCAGGAGATTGGATAACGGATTATTATATGGCTTCTGCATTGGCTCAGAGAAAGTGGTCACGGCGGAGGTCTGGTTGAATTATGTTTTTGTTGCAAAAGGACTTGTGAATAGCTAGCCCTAATCGGTTCTATTTTCGAGATAAGCTTAAAGGGAAAGGAAGGAAATCAAGGACAACAGGGTACATATAAAGTTTAATTATGGAAGCATTTAGCATGGAAGTTTGTTACTATATAGAGTAGTTGTGTATATTGCTGGCTATCAAAAGCGATTGAACTCCAGGGTCATGAAAGTGGTCCACGAAACACCAACACGGGGGGCTATGGGGCAAAGTACCGTACTTGAGAGGGAGTTTCAATCCGAACGAATCCTATGAAGCTAGATATGTACATTTTCAGCCTACAATGAACTTGGATTTTATGATTTGTTGGATCCATTTTATTCCTCTTCCCCTTTGTTCCGGATATAGGGACCAACCACTTTTAAAAAAAGCCTAAAAAAGAGATCAAAGCCAGAGTCGAAGTAATTAAACACCTGTACAATTGGCGTATCTTATAAGCATAGTTATCTACGTTGTACGGTTGTAAATGGACTGAATTGGAATTTGGGGTGAAGAGGGGTAGTATTGAACTGTGTGTTGTAGAAGTACTTGCCTCGGTGTAGGCATATACAACATAGTTAACATTGATATAGAAATGATTGGTACATTTGTCTATTGTACATGGTGCATAATGAATTTGTGCTGTGGGAAATTAAGATGGGTTCCTTTTAGGGCTGTGATTGGCGAGTGAAAATCCCTCGTAGTCGTTAGTTTTGGATACGGAAGCTTGTGTGAGAGAAAGTGGAAATGCTGTTTTTGCATTACATGTGAGATTGACTTGTTATTTTCAGCTTTATTGTTCCTCTACTCCGTACAGTAGATATCTTTTTTTATTATTCTTACTGTGTACCCGAGGTCAATACTAGCGGGCTTATTCGGAAATCAACAGTAATCCGGGGTAAAATCAGCATTGAATAATATTATTGAGTATACCGCTAGTCACCACCCTGTACTAGCTCGGAAACAAAGCCCGGGTTCAGCGCGAAGCTCATGCTAGTATGGAAATCCTGAACACTAGGTGTCAAGAATTCCCCCCCACCACACAGACACACCAGGATCCGAATAGACGGTGAACATTCCATATTCTACTCCATATATTCCAAAGTAGTACGGAGTAATAAGGCTCGATATATTCCCCTGCAGATGTGATAGGGCCAAGAAAGAGTGATATATTCTATCCAATACTTTTCAATTGAACAACTCAGTCTTAGTCAACCTGCACCACCTTGTCTATCCCAAATGCCGTCATTTTTCCGAATGACGCTAGATAGCGGAAATCTTCTCTTAGCCTCCACGGTATTCCCCTATAACGTACTAGAGCATCATGTACGTTGTACATCGCTGCGGGGGACTTCGTTGCACAGAGACCCCACGCGGTTCCCATGACCCCGATAGAGAGATGTGCATGATTGACCGACTATTATTACGTAGCAACGATCATCTAGTAATCACCGGCAGGAATTACTGTCCAGAAATTGGGGGTTTCGCTTTAGGGATGATCGAGTTGACCAGCTGAATGTTGGTAGTAGCGAGTGAGCACGGGTATAAACGGAAGAATCTGACAATTGGTTTAAATGGGATTTAGGATTTACAATTAACGAGGACAGTGTGTCCCTGGAGGGGGGGGGGAACTTGGCACTTTTCTGCATTTGATTTAGCAGGGTTTCATGACCCGGATGATATACTATGTCAATTTAGTTAGTTCTGTTGTAAGTACATGTAGTAAGAGGAATGGTCTGATCTTCCTATGTTGTATATGCCCATGTACAAATGATACAAATGATAATCCCCCACTTACCATATAGAGTAACAAAGCACGTCTGAAATGTGCACATTATTCCGGCTAAGAGATCAACAGAATACCCCAATCACATCGGATGAATGGATCCTAATGGATACCTAGGTAGCTTTCGGAGAGGTACCCCTCAACTTCATACATCGGAAGTCCACAGGGCCTCGGGATGACAACCGCCACACAGTGCACCCAGCGCGTTGGCTTGGTGCGGGGCCTGATCGAATCATGACTGGGCTTCGTTGTGCAGACTGCACAGCCTCACTCTTTTGATGTGGTGGCGGAACTATCAGAGCTCTCTGTATTTTCCAATATCCGAATCTTCTAGGGTATGTACATTTATAATAGCTAGGTATACTCCGTATACTCCGTATATAGCAGGATACTTAGATCGTATATGCAAAGACGTCACTTCAACCAACGTCATTAATACTAGTAAAGACCAAATAATACATGTACTTTACCACAAAAGAGAGACTAGAGACCCAGTTCCAGGGTTGAAAAAAACCTGTATGTTTTACTTTTTATTACTTATGGTACTCTCTAATAATTCATTACCATTAAATCTCTCACCAAAAAAAAAAATATTATAAAGCATCGGAACAGACCTCGGGAATCCTTTCCATCTGGTCTACCCGTACTCCGTACTCCGGACTATGAAAATGTACATGCGCCACTTTTTAATTAAAGAATGTTGGTACTAAAATATAACTACAACATACAACATCGGCTCTAGGCAGGGAGTACGGAGTACATGGATATAGCCCTAAATGTATTTAGACCTTACAGGTCTCACAGCGCCGGAGTCGCCGTATGCAGTATGTAGCCCTATAGGTCAAAACCAGAATCGGTAGAAACACCCTGGAGAGCTCTGGAGCCCGCGGACACCAGGTGGACATCATTTACAAGCATTAATAATCTTCGAGGGTAACCTGTACCGTTGCAGTGCCCACATTTCCCCCCTTCTCTCGATATGGAGTTATTTCAATTTTCAATTTTCAATTTTCTTTTTTACTTTTCTTATGAATTTTATAATTTTTAATGGGTTAAACTATGTAATATGTGAGATGTAACCTGTAATATATATATATTACCATACGAGGATTTCCTCCTGGTATTTCAAGTTCTCTAACATCGCCAAATTTATCCCACTTATTTCCCACTTGCTTCTCTTACTTTATAAATTCTTTCTTTCTCTCTCTTTTATCGATTGTCTATATACCCCAGGGGCCTCCTCTCTTGCCAGAGGGCATCATTTTGGTGTGCGGTACTTCCAATATTTCCGTATTTCTTTGTGTCGTCACCCTTTGCCCGTGTTGCCTCAGGCCATCAATTCGGCCTACTTTTTTTTTTCTCTTTCTCGCCTCGCTCCTCTCACTTCTCTTTATCCTTACCATTAAGACCGTCTCGATCCGCCGCAGCTTCGTGCGAGCTGTAGACGCTCGTCTTCCAATCTGGGGACGGAAATTTTTACGTTCCAACCCTCATTCTTCCAATCTTCACCTGTCGATCCACCGCACATGACTCCACCTTCCCCTTCACCTGTGCCTTCCGCAGTCTCTTCAGCCGCAGCTTCACAACACTCGTATGAACATCCGGATGGAGATGCTTCGGTAGCACGCGCCCTTGCGGGCATGAATCTAGTCGCCCACGCAAACGGAGACGCTCTCCCTGCTCCGGCATTGTCTCCCGCAGGTAAACCGACTAAAGCCACCATGGCCGCTCGCCTCACACGCATGTTCTCCAGCACGGGGAAAAATACACCAACCAGAGAGCATAACGAAGTTCCTCGTGACCTATCCGACAGTAGCCTGGAAAGTATCCAGCCTCTCAACGGCAGGACCTCGAAGTCATCATCTCGACCCGCTTCAAGACCTCCTTCTAGACCTCCCTCAAGAGGAGAAAATTCTCGAACACCGTCACGAAACCCGTCACTCAAGAGCGAACCCGTGGAAAAACACGACAAGAAGAAGATGGATGATAAAAAGACAAAAGATGGAGCTTCAGCTCACAAGCGATTCGAGGTTCTAACGGAAGCTCTCGGCAACCACTCACATAACCTCAGAAGTGCTAGACGGCAAGAGAAGCTTACCGATCTATTGCGGGATATGATGGGTGGCCGGAAAAAGGACGACCAGGTGGATGAGCAACAGCTGTCGCTGATGTCGACCTGGATTGATCAGTTCAAGACGGAGCGTGATAAAGTGGCTGCTGATAAGAAGGGCGGCCCTAACGCCACTGCTTCTCTGGTCGACAAGTACGGAAAGTGCCAGGAGATCGTGGGCCGTGGTGCGTTCGGTATCGTACGCATCTCGCACAAGGTCGACCCTCAAGATTCCAAGTGTGAACAGCTGTATGCTGTCAAGGAGTTCCGCCGCCGGCCCCAAGAAACGACCAAGAAGTATCAAAAACGACTGACTTCTGAATTTTGTATCTCATCGTCACTTCGTCACCCGAATGTCATTCACACTTTGGACCTCTTGCAAGATGCCAAGGGAGATTACTGTGAAGTTATGGAATACTGCGCTGGTGGTGATCTGTACACACTGGTCCTTGCTGCCGGCAAGTTGGAAGTGGCCGAGGCCGATTGCTTTTTCAAGCAGTTGATGCGGGGTGTTGAGTATATGCACGAAATGGGTGTCGCACACCGCGACCTTAAACCCGAAAATTTGCTCTTGACCACTCACGGTGCACTCAAGATCACCGATTTTGGTAATGGCGAATGCTTCCGTATGGCCTGGGAGAAAGAAGCCCATATGACCGCCGGACTCTGCGGTTCCGCCCCATATATCGCCCCGGAGGAATACGTCGAGAGGGAATTTGATCCCCGAGCGGTTGATCTCTGGGCGACTGGAGTGATCTACATGGCCATGCGCACTGGTCGGCATCTTTGGCGCGTGGCGCGCAAGGATGAAGATGAATTCTACCAGCGGTACCTAGACGGTCGCAAACATGAGGATGGATACGCTCCCATCGAGACGTTGCATCGGGTAAGAACGGCCAATCCCTCTCCTGCGGCTGGAGGGCAAAAACTTATGAATTCTCAGGCTCGTTGTCGCAACGTGATCTACTCCATCCTTGATCCCAATCCTTCTCGCCGCATCAATGCCTCCCAGGTCCTCAAATCTGAATGGGTGCGCCAAATTAAGTTGTGCAAGGCTGGCGAGGAAGGGTTCTGATCGTTTCAACACGAAAATTGTCAGGTGTCGAGGTCACCCACTCCTTAAGGTTTGATGTGACTGAAATCATCCTTTCACATTTGCATCACAGGGTGGTTATTTATCATAGACCCATTCAAGGAGAGGCTTACTGATTTTTATCCTTTGAATGCTCCTGAATTAGAAGGAGGCCCCTTACGAAGGTTTTTATTTTTTTGCTTTTTCCCCGTTTTATCCTGTTTGTTGGCTCCGGCGCACACTGTATCCCTGCAGCCTCTTCAGCCTGTGCTCTATTACATCGATCCATCTTTTAGCTTGTCTTTTTGTCTGGATCCTCATGTCTTCAACGTCAATGCAACGAAGAATCATGACCCTTTTCTTTTGATACGGTTTTCCTTTACAATCTTTCGGAGTTTCATCTCGTCCGGTCTTTTTTTTCACGTTACGGGGTTTCGGCAGATACCTTCAAGGTTCTATTGGCGTTGGCGGGCAATTACCCATTTGAACTTTCTTCCCTTGTACCACTATGACGAACCCAGCTTTATCGGGCGAACATGGGCATATTCTCACTTGGGTTGCCGGTCCTCTGTTCTGGGTTCTGGGGTTCCTTATCAGTATGATTGTAGGCAGAGGCTCTGCTGCCCGCAACAGCAACAGGAACAGGATCAGGAACACAGGAATCGGTGCCTCAGTGGGATGTCCTACACTGGAGGTTGTCTGAACCTTTTGCTGCTTTGGCTTTTTTACTTTCGACGTCGGATTCTAGTACATATTACCGATGCTTTTTGTATATATGGCTTAGGCATTTTGAATTTGTGTTACATGTGACTTGGTTCCACGTAGCAAAGTGCACATTCATTATCCTAGCATACCAGGTTCGTCTCCAGATCCTATTTCCCCTCTTACAAATCAAAAGGCACTTCTACTCAACCTGTTCACAATCTACAGCCCCCAAAAACTATGACATCAATCCGAAGATCGGCGCTTATCGACCCAATGTAAGGTCCACAAGTGTCACTGAGATGATCAGCACGATGCAGTAGATTTGCCCCGATATCTTTCCAACACTTCAGGATCAGTGATATAATCCAACCTGGAGGGGTTTCCCGACGATAATCATCCATGCATCCTCCACACGCTAGTGATAAAAAAACAAGAAGCCCCAGCGGTCTGATGCAATCGAGTGTCATATTTCAGACTAGCGTAGCCTAGTTATTCACATTATTCACATTATTCACACATGTCTTATAACTTCTAATTTATTACACATATCTTAGGTGTGACTACGGAGTACGGAATGGAACTCCGTAATACCGAACATATGCAGCTGAACAGGTGGATTCGAACTCTACAACTTCCCTCACTAGAGACCCAACCAACCCCAAAAAGGGATCCCGAGTAAAACTTGAGCGGACTCAAAATGCAGTTATTCACACTTGGCAATGTCATATAACTGTCTGCCAAGGATTCACATAACTCAGTTACTTAGGCATCAACATTACAGCCTAGGCGAAGTGGGTAAGTGGAATACCTCAATATGCACATGCCATGCAGGCGTATTGCAGCGGATGTAAGGCCCAGCCCTACACTATGCTACTGTTAAAGGGGTAAGGGGTAATTATGCCAAATAAATGGGGTTTATTATCTCTCTCCTGATTGCTCGCCAGCGTTAAGCGGCTATATGCACCTGGTGTGAGTAGGAATGTCCCAACACAATATCTGTATTCAATATACTCAATATATACCTTGGCATGATTTACCTAGTATTACCAGTCCATGTAACTTTGCAGAAAAACCAAAAAAAACTCGAACAGATCCTCGCAGAACCTGAATAATGCAACGCTGTGATGTGGGTACTCCCGTAGTATCCAGCCCTACCAAACATGACGTATCTGCATCCGGAGGACATGACATAAGCATGATCACACAGCCACACACAGCCACATAAACCCGCAAGGCAGAGTTGGCTACACTTGGCATTGGGTTCGGGACCTTCACGACTTACCCTACAGCTTAACTCCGGAGATTCTTCTCAGTAGTCAACTGCAATCACTCCCACGACTTCCCTCTATTTCATATCCACTTACAGCCTATAACCCACACCAACTCAAGGCCGATCCCCATCTCCGGGTCTTCCGAACCACACCGCCACCATGTCTTGGGCAGGTACGCCTACATCCCACCAAAACCCTCGGACTCATGGACCGGTGTCAGTCTGAGCGAATCTAACTGCTGGGATGGATAGGGTTCAAGAAGAATGTCAACCGTGCCACGACGCAGGTGATGATGAAGACGGGTGAGTTTTGGTCGAGTTCTACCCCGCAATGAATCGAGAGAGGGCGATCGGACACGATCCCGGATTAGCTACCCGCTACGCGCTACAATTTACTTGCCGCGCCATGTGGATGCGAATAAGTGAATAACATGCTGACTTGGTAATTGTATAGGACATGTTGAGAGAACGAATGATCGCGATTATGAGATCGAGGAACGGTATGGTTGTCCTCGCTGCTGCCTCTAGATGGTTTACCAGGACGGGAGCTAACTTTTCTCGTTATAGTCGTTACCGGACTATGGAGACCGCGGCGAATCGATTGCAAAAGGAGGCAAAAGGTTACTTGGATTCACTACGAGGTGGGTGACCTTTTGCTTTGTGGATTGTTGGATCTGGTTGTTCGGTTGGCTGACTTTTTTTTAGCCATGACGGCGTCCCAAATGCGCATTGCCGAGACTATTGATGCCTTCTACGGCGACGCGGGAACAAAAGACGGTGTGAGCCGGAGCTACAAGCAGGCTGTTGAGGATCTTGATGCCGAGACCATCAAGGCTCTGGATGGGCCATACCGGTATGAGATCCTTATTTACTGACGAGTACACATGAATGGTGCTGATAGAAGCCATAGTACCACCGTTCTCGACCCCATCTCCCGATTCTGCGCCTACTTCCCCGACGTGAACGAATGCATTAAGAAACGCAACCACAAGCTACTAGACTACGACGCCATGCGCGCCAAGGTCAAGAAGCTAGCCGAGAAGCCCGACAAGGATGTCACCAAGCTGCCGCGGACCGAACGCGAAGCCGAGATGGCCAAGCAAGCCTACGAGCAACTGAATGAGCAGCTTTTCAACGAACTCCCTCAGCTTATCGACCTGCGTGTGCCCTACCTCGACCCCAGCTTCGAAGCTCTCGTCAAGATCCAGCTGCGCTTCTGTGCCGAGGCGTATTCCCGTATGGCGCAGGTGCAGCAGTATCTCGATGCCGAGACTCGCGACCAGTATGCTAAGGGTGATCTGGATAACCGGGTTGAGGAGGTGTTGCAGGAGATTCGGGATTTGAGCATAGCTGGAACCGTTTGAGCTGTTCTTTTAATCGACTACTCTATTAGCATAATACCGGACGTTTCTTTGCTGCGCTGAGATCTGTGCAACAGACTCGTGCCTTTTTTTTTCCTTTGCTTCTGTCGATAGATATCGACAGCTATTTCCTGTGTTCATTTGCCTTACACCAGGCGTTTTCTGTGTATATGTTTAATACATCCACGAGCTGGCTTTGACATTGTTCTTCATCACTTCCTTCAATTCCATGCCTTCGCCCACGAATATGAAGCAGTCGCATATAACCAACAATCATGATGGGGCGGAGAGGAGGGGGTATTGTACTCCAACAAATCCACACTATACACATCACCAAACATCGAACATCAGACCTTCCCCGCAGGTCTAACAAGCTCATCCCGAATAGTCTGCGCCACAGGCATCGCCGCGGCATGATAAGACTTAAGCTCCTTATCAGTAACAGTCTTCAATACATAGTCCGAAACAGCACCAGAATCATGTGACGCCGGACGACCAATACCAAGACCAACGCGCAAGATTGAGAGATCCGCCAAAGGCCCGGAAACACTCTTATTCGGACTAGACGAGCGCGGATACAGCCCCTTCTTGCGCAGCGTCTCACAGATACTCACGAGACCGCGATGACCGCGCAAACTAAATGTCTCAGGTCCGCCGCGTATGACACGGACTTTGCCTTGGGCAATGGAGAGTTCGTCGTGGAGGATGATGAGGGTTGTTGGGTATGTAGTTTGTGTGGGGATGTTTGGGGTTGAGGCGGAGGCACGAGTTGCGGCAACGCTGGCGATTCTTTCAAGACGGTTTGCTCGTTCGGTTGCCCATTGTTCTAGTCGGCGCACGAGTTTTGGGCCTGTTACATTCATGAGGGATGGACTTTGCCATGTTTCGTAGTAGAGGCCTGTGTTTGGGAGGGTGACTTCGAGGAGTGGTTTTAAGGCGTCGAGGAGGAGGTGGCCGGCGCTGTGTCGGGTGTTGTGGTAGGGCGCTGGATTGCCTATTGAGGCTATGAAGAGGAGGCGGCGGGGGAGGATGTCCATATTTGTAGGGAGGAGAGGACCTTGGGTGGTGTATATTGTACTTTGTACGGTCTTCCTTTTTTTTTTTCTCTATTGTCATTGGTTCAGGTACAGGAGATCGTCTCGTGACTTGGCGGATATCGGAGATAAGGAATTGCTTATCTCCATGTTTATACAACATCTGTAGTTCAAGGTTGGGACTACCCGTAGACATAGGTATGACTTTGATAACTTGATGTAATCGAAGTCGCCTCAACTCTTTCTACTATATCAGACATATTAAGAAGGAGAAAACGAACATGCAGTCCCTTCCAGGTTGTTTCCTAAGCAGTAAAGACACTCCCGCAGAGTGAGTGCTGTAGAGTAGTTGATGCACCACGATCCCAATTGACGCGCTGTATCCTGGTCCACCACTTCATCGTTCTGGAAATCATATATCATCAGTAAAAGACCGACGAGTAGACAACTTGCATCATGAGATATTCCAACGGGTACTGATCAAATATGTCTGGGACGAGCTCAAGCCAATCCGGTTTCATTTGACAATACAATGTTGAATTGCAAAAATCCCAAAACTCAGGGTACCAGCCTGACAAATTCCAGTCAATAAGCGTCACTTTGAAGTCTGCGCCTCCATCATCGTGGATCTCTCTTCGCTCCACCATTATGTTCTTCGGCTGCAGATCTCCATGGGTAAAAACAGTTCGATGGTCCTTGAAGGTGCGATTGACCATTTCTCGCAATAAGCGAATGTAATGCGGTGAATGTCTTTGGCCCAGCCTTTCAAGTATTCCTTGATTCAGCTCTTCTTGATCCTTGAATGGCCCGGAAATAATTGGGTTGTTATCTGGTGTTGATAGAACACCGTCGATGCAAGGCGTGCCATTCAAGTTTCCAAAGTAGCCCGGTGGTGGTATTGTTCGTAGTTCGTTAAGAGTCTCTTTAATCCGCTCACTGACCGTCGTCTTTTCGGCTGGTGTAAGTGATGGTAGTAACTTTTGCAAGTCGGTCCCAGGGATAAAATCCATAATGATATATCTTTTCTGAGTCTCTGGATCGACAAAATTGGCGTCAACCTTTGGCACAGCAACCTTGCTGTTGGCTGCAACATACTTCATGTTCTCTGCTTCTAAAGGCGGAATTGCATATCCGATCTTGACTGTGAAGCGTTCCTTCACTCGAACCACTTTAATGGCATTTGTTCGTATACTAAGGACATCGGTAGACGCCTCAATATCGGAAATGGTTGGTAGATCAATGGTGGATTGCATCGGATGCAACTCGTTGGTCATTAAGATGGAGTGAATTGACTTGGGTAAATGAAAAAAGATACTAGCACCGCCATGTCATGTGACAAGACACTGTCGGCCATCCTTTGTACGTCTTGAGAGAGCTTGGTCTTGAAGATGAATAGCTAATGAATGTCTTTGTATAAGTAACCAACTCAGGAGGCAGCGTGGCCCCTATGATTGTAGAGTATAAATGTCCACGGAGGTTTGTAGAATACGTGAATTTTGTCCATTGCAATGAAACCAGACAAGCTTTTGGATATAACTCCCCTCGAACCCCATGCAAAACCGAGAATAACAACATAAAGAGACATTTACAGTTGGAACAGAGTTCTCGTCTTCTCCATTCCACCCTTCCACTCCCACTCCTGGCCACTGGCACGCTGGATGCCCTTATCAACACGACGCAGCTTCAAAGTGAAGCGAGGTCCTAGTTCCTGTAGACCGGTACGGATACCCTCAGCACCCAACATTTCCTTGCCGTCAGCACCAACGACAGCCTTTTCGGTCTCACGCTTCTCACGGAAGACGTAGCGGTGACGACGGACGAAAATGTAATCACGCTGGTTGTGCAAAGTGACAACCTGTCGGCCCTCAAACTCCGGCTGAGGCGGGAAGAGTGTGCGGAACAAATGGGCAGTCAGAAGACCGAGAGGAGTACGGAAGTTATTGAGGATCAGCTCGGGCCAGTGCTCGGTGGCTCGGCCGTGTCCTGGAAGACGCTTTCCTTCGATCCAGTTGCTGATAGTGAAGTGGAAAGTCGGGCCGACTGGCAAGTGAACCATCGTTAGCCCAGAGGGCCGCTTCTGGTCCTCATTCAACACAATCACAGTTGTGAAATTACGGTTTGCGGCGAATTTGGAAATCTCGCGGATTGAGAATTTGTGCGAGTAACGGTGGGCATTACGCCGGATGTACACACTGTTAGGGAACACTTCGGTCAGGGTCTCGGCTTGGTCGTGGAGGGTAGAGTTGAGGCCGGTAGTGATGAGGATTTTCGGGGTGGGTGGGGGACCCTCGGTGAAAAGTGTAGGGAATTTGGCGGCCAATGCTTCAGGAGCGAGGCTGAGATTTGTGCTGCGTGTGGACTGGGTGGGACTTGTGGCACGCTCTGTCGCAGTTTTGAGAGAGGTCTTCTTCCGGCCGCGGCTGGCGTTCTTGTCTTCGTCCTTTTCCTCATCCTCATCCTCATTTTCACTGTTGTCGGATTCGAGCATACTGTCGACTGACTCATTTTCTGATTCCGGAGCCTCGCTGTCATCCTCGCCCTCTTCTAATGGCCGGTTGAGCTCGTCTTCTTCTTCTTTCTTGGCGCGCTTGATGCGCTCAACGTCAACGCTCAATCCTAGACCAGTTTCTTCGGTGTCGTTGTCGGCTTCGTTCCAGACACGTTTCCGCTCGAGAGTCAGAGGAATGTTGCGGCGAAGTCGTTCTTCCTTCAACTTGGGGTTCTTGGCTTCTTCTTTCTTGAAAGCGTAGCGCTCTTCTCGGCGCGCAGCATCTTTGGCTCTCTTGCGCTTGACATGGTTCATCTTCCGGCGCAGCTTGTTGCCGGTTTTAATATCGCCCATTACGCCCGGAGGCGGTCCAGATCGGCCGGGGACAACCATTTTTGAAGGCTGAGAGGGTAGAATGCTGCTGTTAAAAGGTCAATGGAAAATGTAAAGATCGCCGAGAAATAAATTATTTCGGAACATCGTTTCCCCGGAGCGCCAATCTGCGATTCGACCTTGTGACTTGGAGACCTCCTTTTTAGAAGGAAAATAAAAAAAAAGAATAAGAAAAGAATCGACCCAATTGGTCGCTCTCTCTCGTTTTATACCCATTGTCTTTTGTCCTCTCGGTGGTGTCTGAGGGGCTGCATAGTGGATGACTCAATTGCCGCGCCTGCGATTTCCCCCCCGCTCTTTTCTTTCCCCTCCGTCTTTCTTTCGGACTCAGTTTAGGACCTACACCCCTCCCCCGAAGACCTCGAAACGAAACGTCAAGATGGCCACCGTCAACACCAAGACCGGCCAGTCCGTCGACCGCACGGTGCTGGACTCCATGCTCCGTCGCCGCATGTTCTACACCCCCTCCTTCGAAATTTACGGTGGTGTGTCCGGTCTGTACGACTATGGCCCACCTGGAACCGCCCTGATCGCCAACATGACCGACCTGTGGCGCAAGCACTTCGTGCTCGAGGAGGACATGCTCGAGGTCGACACCACCATGTTGACCCCCCACGAGATTCTCAAGACTAGTGGGCATGTGGACAAGTTCGCCGACTGGATGTGCAAGGACCCCAAGACTGGCGAGATCTTCCGTGCCGACCACTTGGTTGAGGAGGTGCTTGAGGCCCGCCTCAAGGGAGACAAGCAGGCGCGCGGCGAGAAAATTGTTGTGGATGAGGAGAAGGAGGCCAAGAAGAAGAGAAAGGCCAAGGGCACCGAGGCTAAGAAGCTGGATGATGCCCTGGTCAAGGAGTACGAGGAGACCCTCGCACAAATTGATAACTTCGGTGGCCCCGAGCTGGAGCAGCTCATCAAGAAGCACGACATCCGCAACCCTGTCACCGGCGGCGAGGTGCTGCCTCCGGTCTCCTTCAACCTCATGTTCCAGACCTCTATTGGCCCCAGCGCCAACATGCCCGGCTACCTGCGTCCCGAGACCGCCCAGGGCCAGTTCCTGAACTTCGCTAAGCTCCTGGAATTCAACCAGCAGTCGATGCCTTTCGCCTCTGCCTCCATTGGAAAGTCGTTCCGTAACGAGATCTCCCCCCGTGCGGGTCTCCTGCGTGTGCGCGAGTTCCTCATGGCCGAGATTGAGCACTACGTCGACCCCGAGGGTGGCAAGAAGCACGCTCGCTTCCATGAGATCAAGGATACTGAGCTGACCTTGCTCGATCGTAACGTGCAGCTGTCCGGAAGCACAAAGCTGACCAAGATGACCATCGGCAAGGCCGTTGAGATTGGACTGGTCGACAATGAGACTCTGGGCTATTTCTTGGCCCGCATTCAGTCCTTCCTGTTGAAGCTCGGTGTTGACCCCACCAAGCTGCGCTTCCGTCAGCACATGGCCAATGAGATGGCTCACTATGCCACTGACTGCTGGGATGCTGAGTTGCACACCAGCTACGGCTGGATCGAGTGTGTCGGTTGTGCTGACCGCTCCGCTTATGATCTGACTGTTCACAAGGAGAAGACCGGTGCCCCTCTCGTGGTGCGCCAGGCCCGTGCTGAGCCTCTACGTATCGAGGAGTACCAGATTGACCTCGAGAAGAAGAAGTTCGGTCCCAAATTCAAGAAGGACGCCAAGACTGTCGAGGCAGCTGTTGAGGCTCTGTCCCAGGAGCTGCGCGAGAAGCTGTCTCTTGACCTCGAGAAGGATGGCAAGATTGAGGTCGATGTTGAGGGTGTTGCATCTGGCAAGGTTGAGATCGAGAAGGACCTGATCAAGATTGAGAAGCGCACTCGTGTTGAGAATGTCCGCGAGTACACCCCCAACGTGATCGAACCTTCCTTCGGTATTGGACGTATTCTGTACAGTATCATTGAGCACTCCTACTGGTCCCGCGCCGGTGACGAGACCCGTGGCGTAAGTATTCCCTTCTGTGTTTTTTTTTTTTTTGCCATGAGCGCTGGTACTGACGATACTATATAGGTCCTTTCTTTCCCTCCCGCTGTTGCCCCCACAAAGGTCCTGCTGGTTCCCCTCTCCACCCACGCCTCCTTCAAGCCTCTGACCCAGCGTCTGACCTCGAAGCTGCGCAAAGCCGGTGTCTCCAACCGTGTCGATGACTCTTCCGCCAGTATCGGCAAGCGTTACTCTCGCAACGACGAGCTGGGCACACCCTTCGGTATCACTGTGGATTTCCAGTCCGTTCAGGACAGCACCTTCACCCTGCGCGACCGCGATACTACCAAGCAGGTCCGTGCCAGCGAGGACGAGATCCTGCAGGCTGTCAAGTCCCTTGTTGAGGGCGACGAGACATGGGAGGATATCCGCAAGCGCCTGCCCGAGTTCACTTCCCAGGAAATCGAGGTTTAGAATGCTTAGAGTGTATGCTAAAATATTATTTACTTTTTTTTTTTTTCATCTTCTTCCTATATCAATCAAAGTAGAGCAACTCTATCCTTGTAGATTTAATAATATAGTTTTCGTTCATCACGCTAACCGGGCACGGCATGCCTAGATTCGGGCCACTGCGCCAAGAATCCGGGGCACCTCCGTCATCCCATCTGTCCTCTTTACACTCTACTTTGTCAACAACGATGGCGCCCACAGTACACTCCGCCAAATTGACACTCTCGTGTCCGCTCTTCGCTGCAGACTTTGACCCGCGCAACAACGGTCGACTCCTAGTCGGCGGCGGAGGCGGCGAGGGGCGTAGCGGAGTTGGAAATAAGATCGCGAGTCCCACCATTTTGAGACCCCTCTCGACGTGCAAATGCTAACTTATTGTTTTCTGTACAGTCTCTGCTTGACACATCGCATCGTAACGAGATCACCGAAGCTGTTGAATTGAACCTATCGCGCGATGAAGACTCGGTAACATCGCTAGCTGCGGCCCCGCTGGTTGGCGACCAGACGGGCTCCCTTGTTGCCCTGGCCGGTATAAATAGCTCCGTAGAGCAACAGAAAAAGAACAACAATCAACATCTTCGCGCATTCCGGTTTGAGCTGCCGCGGAAAACCACCGCGGTTGCTGGTTCGAATACACAGAGCGCCGAAGACAGTGAGAAAAAGGAAACCAAGTCCGAGGAAGGGGTCATTCCCGGAAAGGCTATAGCTTTGTCGCAAGCATCACTATTCCGAACAAAGAAGGGGACGGGCTCTTCGGATACATATCAGCGAGTGACGAGACTCTCGCCGTGGCCGAAAGGGAAGGATGGCACTGAGAAACACACACGGATCGGAGCCGTTGCGACGGGTCTGGCACCCTCCGGTGAGATTGTTTTATTCCGCGCCACAGAAACGCCCAGCGAGAAGGATATCATTGG